CTGCTCATATCCTGCTTTGAGATACGTCTGTATGCAATACGGATCATGTAGACCCAGGGGCGAAGCGTCTATATAATCAAATAATCACTGCTTCCCTTTCTAATTTTGAAACATTGTCGCTGTCAAATTCATCCTTAAACGTAAACCTCATAAATTAAATGTCAAAAGACGTTCGTAATCAACAAATAAAGTGAGGCTGGAATAGAGTTGAAGGGAAGATGTGCATGGCAGTCAAAGCTGTTTCATTGCCACATATACCCTGTTCACCCTTTTGGGGCCACAGTTAAAATCAATCATCAGCCCTGATTAAGTAAGCTAACAAACACTGGTCGAGTCTACCTCACAAATGTGAGGGGAACTAACTCTTAATAATCTCTTGACTGCTGCTTGTGCTTGGGTTTTTTTCCCTCGACTTTTTACCGTCCCATATAATCAGATCGTGACCTCGATTATGACACCAGCTCCTGGCCGCGAAAGGCTAACAAAAACAGCCAAATGTGAAATTTAAAAAATAATAATTGTCATGTTCTACCAAAGAGTTAGACTCACTGGTAGATCTATAACATATAGATCTAGTACTGACATCTCTGCTTCTTTGCTTTATGTTTATGTATTCACATCTAAAGTAAAGTTTAATTTTAGTGGGAACTGATATTTAATAAGATACTTTCCCGATTATTTTGGCGGTTGAACATACAATATGAATTCCGGATTTGTTTTCATTCACAACTCAGAGTCGCCGCCTCGAGTAAGATTCGTGTGTGATATCTACAGGCCCTATCTGGTCCCATTTCACTTTGATTACCCTGTCAAACAAGTCAGCCTTCGCCCCTGTGTAGACCTGTTTTTTTCCCCTAATCGACATGATTTATAAAATTTAAGAGGCTGGCTTTTTCGACACCTGCTTGTCCGGGCCAATCCGGGCTGAAAGGGATATATTTTTTAAAAATGCTGCATATATATATATATATATATATATATATATATATATATATATATATATATATATATATATATATATATATATATATATAACACCCAACAACTCAAGCAGAAAAATATAAATAATCGATATAATAATATATACCTTCTCACACGAGGATCGAATGAGAGTCTTCTGCAAGCGACAGCTAAGCGCCGAAACATTACGCCACTGATATCAGACGGTATCTGTGGTGTGGCGGTTAGACGTTCCATTGTCGCACACAGGAGACCCGAGTTTGATTTTCGAGCAGTGAGGAATTTTTATTGAGTGTCTGGACGGTCTTCATGCTGTGTTCCCTCTCAGCCCGGGTCGGCCATGGCAGGCAGTATCGGAGTCGGTCTCCTGAATGATTTGAATTGTGTCGGAGGGGGCGTAAAACATCCACATTTAAAATAAAACCAGAAACCCCCCTTTAAAGAAAACAAATGAAAACAAAAACAAAAAAGAAAACAAAATAAGCTGTTCATAAGTGTATGACGTTGGCGTAACGTTTAACTAAATCTATAAAGACTCTACATTTCCCTACGGGAATCAATACCAGAAGTGCCTTTCTCTTAATTTAGGTATTTTTGCGCCCCCATTGACACATTTAGATCTTTTTGGAGGCGAGCTTTGGCCCTGCCTGCCAAGGCCAAACCAAGTCGGGAGGGGTACAACATAGCAACAGACAGACAGAGAACCTCGATAAAAAGTTCTCCATACATGGGAATAGAACTAAAATCTCCTGCGCTCGACGATAGAACACCTAAGCATTACACCACAGACACCGGAAGATGTATCTATTCTTTTTTATTTGTCATTTTCAAAATAAGTCTTCTCTTTTTAAAAGAGAAAAACCAACAATGACAACACAACAAACCTATTATTTCTTTGGTGGATAATTCGAAAAGATGCCACTGTTGTGGTTCTACTTCTTTTCTTTCATACTGTTGTTTTTGACTGAATGCCTAGGATTTCTCTGCGCTGTGAGTCCGTAATTTTGTCAATGTGCCTCTCTTTACTAATTCTCAATAAATTATATCTCCATTCAGACTGTAGTCCATCAGCCAATAACTCTGCAATGCTTTCATTTCTGGTCCTTCAGTGAATCGTTTTGTCCACTCCAGCCGAAGCCAGCTCCAGCCCGGCATCCCCGTCGCACCAAATCCCCAGCAACTATCCCCCCACCCCATATTTCCCCAAACTACCACTCACCGTTTCCCTCCTATAATCATTATCATGGTAAAGGTTGCCCGCAACTAATAATTCGTAACCTATATTGTGTCTCTTTCCTCGCTCTTGCCGTAAGGTTTCCAGAGAGAATCTTTTGTTTTGTTTTATCTTTTAAAATTATGCATGTGTTTTTACGACCTTATCGATACGATGTAGATTCGAACTTCGGTTCAGTCTGTCAGGGCCAATCCACGGTAAAAGAGATTAAGCCTTGAACTTCCTAGCAGAAAGACAGAGATAAAGGATAAACATTCTTACCACTCGAGAATCGAACTCCTGTCTCATGTGTGAGGCGGCCTATCTGCTACGCCACAGATGACGCGTTGCCGCGCCAACACAATTATTTTACATAAAGATACAATGAACAGGTGATAAGATTACACGTGTTAAGATTATGTAGTTTTACCATCAAATTCGCACACTGAGTGTATTTTTCGATTTTTTTGGTGTGTGTGGTTTGGGTTGGGAGGGGGGATTAATATGCATTTAAACATGAATAAATATGGCACTTGTGCAAAACTTGTCAAATCATTTCAGTTTGAATGACTTTATTAAACTAGGCTGTTTCGATGTGTGCGAACACAACAGACAAAAACCTACCTTGGAAACGTTATTGTCTCAAGTACCACTGTCTACAAGTCTATCATATATACACTTACTCAGATCCGTCACAAAAAGTAAAATGGACTTACTGTCGGACACCTACTTTTTATGTTGGCAGTTAATAAATAATGATAAATAGCATTAATGTAGCGCTCCATATGTTAGAGAAAATAAGGTCTAAGCCTTGAAGTAGCTCTCGTGGCCTAGAGGTTAAGGTGTTCGCCTCTCATTCAAAGATCCGGGGTTCGAATCTTTGTAGCGACCGAACAATTTTCTTCTCTAAAATTGTTTCCTTTCATCTCCTTTCCTGCTCTCTAGCATAAGCAATGTTCTGTTGTCTGCTTTCGTCTCCTCTTTCGGCCCCCACCCCCTCACCTCCGTGTTGCTCCTTCCTCTGGGCTCCTGGCTCTTTCTGCAGCCTTTCTACTGCTACTCCTTGGCTCCTTCTTACTGCTGTTTTTCAGCCACACCCCTGATCTTCTGGTAGGAAAAAGCTACACCTAGCCTTCTCGGACAAAGGCGAAAAATCTCGGAGGGCCTGTGTGTAAGTTGCGCTCGTTAAAGATCCCTTGGCGCCCACTTGGCGGTCAAAAATCGATATGAGTAGGCTTCGGCCGCCACCCGGGCAAAATTCAAAATTTCCTACCAACTGAAAA